AAAAGTATATATCTTTCTTTTTCTGTTCAAAGAGAGAACAACACCTGCTCCATAAGAGAAAAAATGTGATTTCTCTTAGCTACATCTAATACCACTCTTTCAAACAGTCAAATAGTGCATATTGATAGAAAAACGACAATAGTCTCTCTTCACGATAGACGAATGAAGAGATTTCCAAACTTTTTGCATTGTCAACAAACATTTCAAAAATATTTTTGTAGCAGATTAGCTGTTTTATATTACTTACACGTGAACTACTGTCCCGGTCTTTGTTGTTGCGATAACAACAACAAAGATGAGGATGATATTCCGCATGTAAATATTTATAACTGATACAAGTAATCAGCGCTCGATTTCTACTTGTTATCCATCCTCTGAATATTGAAAAATTTCCTCACGGATGAGGAGAAAACTAGAATCAGTAGAAATGTGGTTCTATAGAAGGATACTGAAAATTCATTGGATGGAGCGAGGAAGCAAAAAGAAAGTCTTAAAGAAAATAGCAACAGAAAGAACACTTCTATTTAGAATAATGAAAAGACATTTGAAATCCCTTGGTGAAGAAAGTGCGTCTGGAAAACTTAACTCTCAAAGGACATATTGAAGGAAAGAGAGATAGGGGAAAGCAGTGATCTACTTATCTAATAAGCTTGTGTGAATCGGTGGCAGAATGGGCGTGTGCGGCCTTAGTAAAGGGAGAAAAACTGCGAAGAACCGCACAAGATCGAAAGTTGTGAAGAGCTATGATTGCCTATACCCGGAACGGAAGCGACAACAACAACAACAACAACAACAACAATAATAATAATAATAATAATAATAATAGGGATTCAGAAAGAAATTACTTAAGTTTTATTTATTCATATTTTTTTTTAATGCAAATGCACTTCAGGATTATGATTATATCTTTTCCTTTAGTTTTTTTTTTGTATATCTATGAATTGTCATGATTTCTTTGGATAAAGCGATTTATCTCTCCCGTCTTCACGGTTTTAAATTCAGAGTGCTCCTTGCCTTATACTGGCTGCTACCAAAGGCAATGGGGCCTAGTCTCCTCTGATATTTAAAGAACCCCCTGCTATCCGCTACCATAACAATAGCCAGATGAGGCCTAAAATGGAGTACTGATGGCATATATGGGCGGGAGCAGCCCTGACTTCACTTTTCAGTCACGATGAAGTGCAAAAGTGTATCCGCGTCCTTGTGGGTGACAAATTATATCTTGCCCTACAACTGCTTTCCCATAGACAAAATCTCGCTAGTCTCTCGCTGCTTTATCGTTATTTCCATTGAAAGTGTTCATACGAACTACATTTCTTAGATCCACCTGTTCTAACCGTAACGCCACGTTCATTGCAGCGAACCACCATAATTCCCTTCGCATTCCACTGGTGTGATGTAATTTCTATTCGAGTAGCTTCTTCCCACGAACTACTGCTTTGTCGAAATGACTCTCAAGAGGATGCTTCCCCAATCATTACAATCTTAATCTATCCAAGTCTAGGGTGAACCGTTATCTTCCCCACATATTCCCATAAATTGTGCCTCTTATTCTCTAACCCTATATCTCGAGTGGCTCTTGGACTTTGTACAGGTGAACATCATGGTAAAAAAATCACCTGGAGAGAGAATAAATGAGCTCATACTTTTCACAAGGAAAGTAGTACGAACGCAACAGACGAGGCCGGGATTTGAACACAGCACGCCAATTTCTTTTTCGGCACTGTTCTCAACTGCCAGAGCGGGAAAAAGCTAATTTTTGTTATCTTAGTCAAATTCTGTTAGCCAAAATGTATATATAAAAAAGTCAATTAAATGAAAAATTCTTGATAAATAAATGAAAAATGAGTAATTAATTACACTAAAGTGTAAAGTGATACACGAATATGGAAAATTCTTCTTGAAAGGATCTCACGTTAGTCAGGTAAACTTCAAGTTCAACTCGTTCGAGTTTGCTAAATTTGTGTCTTAAGCATCGATAAAGTCACCAATATTCTCCACGTTAGTCTCAGTAAAGAAAATGTGACAGAGAAATGCGAAACAGTCTCAATAACAAAAATGTGACAGGGAAATGTGAGGCAGTTTTACTAAAGAAAATATCAGAGAGAGGCAGTCGAACTAAGGAAAATAGAGTAAACCCATGTGGATTTTCGAGTAGATATGGGTTTTCGAACATACGCGCATTGCATTCCTTAAATGGGTAAATAAACCCTGCAGGGTTGTGAAGTTATCTGTGGCCAAGCTTTCTAAATCATGTCGGTTTAGATAGTAGTTTCATCTAGAAGTGGGGCGGATGTTCGTACCCTGCCGGAAGGCACCTTTTTTATTGCGACTCTCGAATGCACAGGCCGGTAGATTTAATTCAAACCGTTTAAAAGAAAACAAAATAAAAAAAACAAAAACAAAAACAAAAAACGGGGCATCTACTCAAACACAACTATCCGCTAAAATATAACGCTTAAAGTAATATATGTTGTGGATTCCGAGATGAAATACAATCTCCAATGAATGACAAACGCAGGAATGAAATATAACAAATAAATGTATTTACGCAATAATACAATTGGTAATACGGTTAGTAAATCCAGAAATGCGGTTAGTAGCAAGAATAATATATATATATATATATATATATATATATATATATATATATATATATATATATATATATATATATATATATAGTCTGGTAAATCCAGTCTCAGTCGGACTTAGAGTCTACGTGCTTGTAACTGTGACTTCTACAAGCGGTTATCTCACACTATTACTCTACCTCCAACTCAATCACAATCACTGCTCTGACTGACTCTGGGTATTTAACGGCAGCAGTCCAAGTACACACTGGTCGAGTCCACTTGTATGAAAAAGGGGTGGACCCCATAACAATGTATAATTATAATGAATAATAAAGCTAAATGGCTAAATTTGAATGGCATTTGCCGGTTAGTTTGCGCAGTATAATTGTTAAAGTCACTGTCCTTTATTATTTATTTATGTTGTATGCTATCCCAGTTGAGATCATTGAATCAATAAACCCGCATAGACAAGAACTACAAACTCATAATATTTACATCGGTTCTATAAGACACACTTTGCCAGGGCTACATACCAAGCGTCCAAAGTTGTTGCAGTTCTCTGCTAACATGAGAAATAACTTTCTACCGAATTTTAAATTAAGATTTAAACATTCGTTAGAAAGAAGGAGGAAAGTGAAATAGGACAAAAATGAGCTATTATCTGACCCACAATAATTATCCTGGGTATGACGATAAACTACATCCGGCAGCAAGGCCTATGATCGGGAGATTGGAAGTTTTGAGAAGCGTGCAACCAACTCTTAATTGCTGTTGTTCCGAGGTCCACCCTGAATCGGGGTGGTAGTACCTGTTAGTGACCCAGCTATCGGCAAATAGTGAACCTCGAAAGAAAAATCATTAAGTACATTTTCATAATAAAATAATCAACAATACATTTTATGATCCACAAAATATATGTCTAAAAAAACATACATTTGCTCTGAGGGTATAACATTATGAATAAAATATCTATAGTTGAAAGCATAAAATTACGTACAAAACATTTAGATTTCGGCATTAACCCATAGAGATTGATATGCCGCTAAACAAAATCAACCAACAACTCACAATAAATTCCTCTATAATTCCTTTAATGTTGTGAGATTTAATGATGCCAAATGGATGTAATTAACATAAAACCGGTTTTAAAACTGGTGAGAAAAGAAATGAATTCTTATCTTGCCCAACGATAATTGTGTGAAAATGAATGCAACGAGTTTGCCTGAAATTTGAATTCGCTAACCGTTCCATTATCTGCATATCCTCTATGCATAACGGTTGTATAATTAAAAAAAAAAAAAACGACCTGAGATTAGCGATATATAATAATAATAATAATAATAATAATAATAATAATAATAATAAATGAAATAAAATATTAATAAAAGCAAAAATAGTGAAGACACCACTTAAGTTTATATCGATCGGTGTGAAATTCTGCTAATATAATACAAAAAGAATTTAGTTAAAAAAATAAAAACTGTCACCTAGAATTATTGTTAAAAATGAAACCTGACATAGTCTTTGACTGTTCGGAATCAGCTTCCTCGGAAACCGAAAACCGTTTCCTTCTTTCTTTATTTTTTCTCACCTAAAGAACCGCTTCGAATAACGGCGTGAAATGAAAGGAAAACGAAACTGAAGCGAATCTTTTTGGAGGAGAGATATTATTCTTTTATAATTTTATATTTCCCTGGTATTAGGAATATTAAATACGTTTTAATAAGGAAGTTAATTATCTAAGAACAAATACTCTCTCTTTTCGCCTTTCTGCTAGTACCACCGCCATCATCTCCATCCACACAACCGTACCATTCTCACAATGCCAATTCCGATTTCAACTTCTTTTTCTACCATTACTATCACAACTACGACGAATAATAAGGTAAATACTGAAGTAAGCCGAAACAGTTATAGGATCATCGCGGATCGTTTCGAAATGTGGCATTCAGTTCAAATTCCAACCGAGGCCGTTGCGTTCACTTTCGCAGAAATACCTTTGTGAAAGTTATGGATCTATCACTTCGCCCACCCACACACTTAGCTTTCAAAGCATACTGACCTCTCCAGTTTTCGTTGGCAACCATTCTATCACAAGGACAACTTTGAGTCCAAATGGGTTGAGTGTAGCGCTAGCAAACACACCCCATAAAAACCTTCTTGCTGTGGAAACCACAGCAGCAAAACATAACCCGGTGAGAGTTGTGACCCAACAGTACACAAAGCAATCTACAGGACCTACATAGATATAATCTACTATGGGGACACAAAACTCGATGAGCCAAGGAGAAACGTTCTTAATCGAGAAACTAAACTCACCCAACAAGTAGGTCTTGTGGAAGCAGCCACACATTTCGAAGTCTTCAGTTTTTATAATTAGCGAGATTGTGTCCATCGCTGACTTGCTAGACATGTCGTGTAGCTTCCAGCTTCCATTAATTCCCCAGTGGTCACCCATCTGAGTACTGACCAGTTGCTTAACTTCGGTGATCGACGAGAATCGGTGTTTCAATGTGATATGGCCGTAAACCCTTACTTGAAATCGCATTCGAAAGTAGTTTGCGAATAATTTTTCTATGCGATTGGTTTCATATTTTTGTTGATATTGTAGTTCGGTATTTGGGCATAACATACAGAAAGAAGGCTTGCATAATCTTACTCTGCCGGAGCGTATCGAAGGCATAAGAAGCTAATGAAAGCGGTCAGTAACCTACATAAAGAGTTTGCGCTATTCGATGAAGCAATAAATGATAGTAAGGCAAAAAAAAATCCTAAATGGGCAAATATTGTTCACACACACACACACACACACACACACACACACACACACACACACACACACACACACACACACACACACACACACACACACTCACTTTGGGTCCTGTCACTGGATCTAATCAACGCAACGCCTTTATCCACTGTGCCATGTGTCCTTGAGGAGTGTGAGTTCAATACCCAGTTAAGGCAGTGGAGAACTTTCAGAGGGAAATTAGCAGGAGATAACTTTTTTTATAAAAAATATTAATGTTATTGCTATTGTTTCTATTCTCGTCGTTGCCTAATATGGGAATCCAATAATTGATTAGGAAATCTGTTATTAATAATCGTTTGTTTTACGTTATTTAATTCTTTAAAGTAAAGCAAGCGAGGGGATAAATTCTCGTGCGCCCTCTTGAGGAAATTTGTAATAGCACCTATTTTATATCTAAGAAGGTATTCACTAGAGAAATTAAGATGGCAAGAGTCTTTACTAGTTGTTTTTTTATGAGCTGAAGTTGTAAATGTATTATAACTAAAATCAATGCGAACATCTAAGAAAGGGAGTTTATTTTTTCATTAATTTCACATGTAAAATTTAGAACGGAATATTGTTGAAATGTAGTTTTCAGATTTTCAATTTCCTTTTTGTTATTAGTTAAAATGATGCATACTGAAGTGTATTAAAAAAAATCAGTTTGAATGTGGATCTGATGTCACCTTGTTTAACTTGAAATTGGTTCCAAAACACGTGAGAACACCGGAATTGAAAAAGTTGCGTAAATATACACAGAACAATCCTTGAAAATGAATGTAGAAATATTTGAAAGTACTCGGGAAGAAAATATGTATATCTGCATAGATATACAAAAAATATCATTCTTCTACTAGTGACTCAGTAACAACCTGTTTCCCGCTGTACAATTTTCAAAATTGGTGTTTATTTCGTTTGAACGCTCCCGATGTTTATAACTTTTTTTCATGTTTCGTCAAAGCGCGTATAGTTATTTAATGTATTTTATTTATTAATCAATTGTTTTGAATTCTAAGATTTTCAATTTGTTTTTCATAGATAGATTGCAATTTTGCCTCTGTCCTCCTCTTCTTTTTATTATAAGCCATTCTATTACTGGTGTTTTCATTTTCAATTAAATAAAAATGCATCGGCATTGTTAATTTCTTTCTTTCTTAATTTTATCTGTTCTTGTATTTAGTTCTGTCTATCTATACCTGTCTGTTCATTATCTATCTATCTATCTATCTATCTATCTATCTATCTATCTATCTATCTGAGATAACAATATATTTATATATCAAGAACTATATTGTGGAAATTGTAATGTCAAAGTGGAAAAGGTTTACTTGTGACACATTTCTTCCTTCAGTCTGATGAAGTCCTGAATGACGAAAGGCATCACAAGTAACCTTTTCCACCTTGTCATACAATTCCCCCTATATATATATATATATGTGTGTGTGTGTGTGTGTGTGTGTGTGTGCGTGTGTGTGTGTGTGTATGTCCATGTAGAGAGCGAGGAGAATACATATAAACATATATAAATATATATATATATATATATATATATATATATATATATATATATATATATATATATATAGAGAGAGAGAGAGATAGATACAGAGAAATGGAACAAAGGGGTGGGCGTCTTGATGTGCCCCATATAGTCTTCATTTGCAACAGATTGTGAAAGTTACTTATCAACAGTTATTTCAGGATTTTTTTTCCGGTGACAAAACTAATGATGGAAGTATTGAGGTCAAACCACGCTGTCTTGTTCGTCCTTCAAAGAGATGTATGAAGGGATCTTGGTAATTTCTGGCATGTGCACATAATACATCATAATGTCTCTACTTAATGTTCTTGTGTGTAAAGTAACATCGTGAAGGAGGAAGAAAATAAAATGGTTAACGATGCTGACGGCTTCAAAGATGGCAGTGTAGAAAAAAATCGAGGTTAGCGCTCCACGGTTAAGCCTGACGTGAATAAGATAATAGATGCTTTGATGTAGTCACCATTAACTAAGCTAATTTTGTTTTATTTTTTATTTTTTCTAAATCCTTTTTATTAGTTATTTAAAAATTAAAATCGCATGGAAAAAACTGGTCGAAAAATTTCATTTTGATACAAAAAAAACAAACAAAAAAAAACCAACAAAAATCGACATGTTTCTTGTAATGTCAATCCTCGTTATTTGATTCACGAAGATAATTTTTTCCCCTCTATCTGCTTCTCATATTTGGTGTCCTTCCGTGGGAATTTTAGAATGCGTAACTGTCAAATCTTTGTCGAGATAACCAATTTCCCTCTTCTCTGAGCCGGTGTATATTTCTGTAGAACGTGACTGCATCGATGATACACAGACATCAAATTCGTATGCTGATCATACAACTATCATCCTATTTCGTAGATTGGGTTACAATTAGCCGGGTTAAAGTCGCATTCGTGATTTTATTGATGAGTATAGACGGCTCTGCATTTAATATTTCTACATGTTTTCACCCAATACTTATATAGAGAATAAGTAAATCGTACAGAATTAATTGTAATAAAAAGAATAAGAATAAATCCTTCAAGTTAACCCTTAAATGGCGTGTATCAACAACTGATGTTTCGTTGATAGCATGAAGTGCTGATTTCGTTTTTTTTTTTTTTTTTGCGGGGATCATTCATTCATGTTGCGAGTGACTAATTAACAAATCTAGGATTCACGAGGTTACTGTTTACTAGAATTCATGAGCTTACGGCATTTTCTGGAGTATTTTCCTGCAAATAAACGTGGAAGAACAATCCAAATCCAGTGCTTTTTGTCTGCAGTATACATGCAAACATAGCGCTGAATTCGGCTTGTACTTCCACGTTTATCGAAGGAAAGAGACGAAAATAGTGACAACTTGGTGCAAAGAATACATAACTACATTCTCCATGAAATGCTTAAAGGAGGATCCCGCTGTTAAAATATTAAATTTAAGAATTCAAAATTTGATTTAATTTCTTTTATTCTTCATTTTTATAATCTAAAAGTATTAAAACATATTTTTTATAGATTTCGATAATAATTTAAACGAACATATTCATAAAACTATACTTAAAAATGTTTAATACTTTCATCGATTAAAAAACAGACAACAAATGCATTGTTTGGTTAGAGATTTACAGTTTACGCTAGATAATTTGGATCTGTCGAATAAACCTTTTTGATTATTGTCGAAAAAATTTAATATTTAGCTTTCGTTCTAATGTTTTTAAATAGGTTTAACATCACTAAAAAATGCGTATTATACAACAATACTCGTCGTACAATCATTTTCTTTTTTATTAAACTTATGCATTTGAGAAAATATTACTCGTCAAATCATATCGTCAAATCATATCGTATAAATTAGTTCAACATAAACCATTCCAGCGTGAGTTTAAACCAACACCTGCTTTTCTGTTGTGACTACAATTACAAGCTATAATCTTGAAAAGTGAAATATGCTGGAATATTTAAAAAATTTCATCTGAAATCAAGAAAATACGGACCTTAATAAAAATAGTCAAAATATATACAAAAATGAAAGTGTCTGTTTAAATTGACGCCATGCTGAACAAAGTGCCATGTTGCTGCAAGTTTATTGATAAAGGAAATAAATTGCAAACCTATAGAACAATTAAACTCTTGAAATAATCGTTTTAATTTTGTGAATATACGAATATAAACACTAATAAAAACTCAAGATATGAAATTATATATATATATATATATATATATATATATATATATATATATATATAATGTTTACCATATGAGTCCTAATAACGCTTGTGTTAATTCCTAACCATAGATAATTCTTTTCTTCCTGATTTTCAATGCATTTCTATAACGAGTCATTTAGACCACATTTGTATTATACCAGATGTTGAAAAGTTCTTAGTGCAATCCAATTTCTAAAATCTGTCTAACAGACCAAACATCAGAATTTTAAAAAATTCTTTTATTCTTTTGTATTCCTCGGACATATATCAATACTAATCTATTCTGTCAGTAAAGATTTTAATAATTCCTTAAAAAAGCCAATCCATTTCTTCCTAGTTTACAATGTATTTTTCAGTAAAATCATTTTAAAAGTATTCTTGTATTAAAATCATAAACAATACATTTCTGTATTAAACTATTTTAAAGTAAAATAATAATCAACATATTTACGATAGGCATAACATTTCCAGTAAATATTACCTTAATTCCTGACCGCTGACGACCCCTTAAAAATACCTTTCCTCCTTATTTTGAATACATTATGACAGCAGATCAAAACTATATTAAAATACATTTGCATTATGCCAATTGTAGTTTTATTATACGATTTGTTACATAGTAGAGTAGAATAGGTCTTCTAGCCTTGAGTGCAACCAGTAAGAGAAGATCATTCTGAATTTTAAACCTTGGTGAAAGCAACTAGAAACCGTTCCACTATCTTTCCCAAGAATTCATGGCAATTCACAATTATAAAGAAAAGGAAACTTGGGAGACCCATGATCAGTTATAACCTGAAAGGAAATCGCATTAAAAATACTCTTAATACTTTATTTTTAATTAATGAACACTGACGATTTTTTCTGTCAGATTTTCAATTATTTTCTATATTAAAATAATTTATTCTGCATATCTATAATCCACTATTTATGTTGTATTTCTATAGGAAAGTCAGCGTATTTAAAAAAATATATACATATATTAGTCCTATTCTATATGTAATTCTTACTTTAGTATTGAATATTGCTTTTATCATCATTTGGCTGGTTGGTTGGCTTTGTTTATCGGCATATCAACATCTCCGGCTTATTTAATTTGGCACATAATTTTATACTTGCAGAGTAAATGTATGTTTTTTAGATATATAGATTGTAGATCATAAAATGTATTGTTGGTAATTTTACTATAAAAATGTATTTTTATATTTTTCATAGTGTAGCATTCATTCTCATTTTGATATAAAAATGTATTCTTGCTTCATTTATTATAAAAATCTACTGTAGATTTTTGGTTGGAGGTGGATTTCACTATTTGCACATAGCTGCGACAGGTGTACGACATCCCCGGATCAGTGTGAACCTAGGAACAACAGCAGTCAATGACTGCTTTGACACTCCTAAAAAATCCTAATCTCTCGATCAGAGGCATTGCTTCCGGATGTAGTTTATCGTCATACCCAGGAAAATTCATCATTTGCAAGGTAGTCTTTTAATAATTATTTAGTTCAATTTTTTAAGCGTACAGTGATGTGCAATGCATTTGCATTCTACATGTAATAGCTGTATTCTGCAGGTATTACTTGGATTACTTCCTGATCATCAACAAGGATTTTTTTTCAATTTTTAAACTATTATTTTGTACAAAAAACCTTCGGAAATAGTCATGCAATTTTTCCAAATTATGAAAGAAAGGTGCCATTTCAAATAAAATTTTCGCAGGAATTTTTTTCATATAAGTTTAATAAATGTTGAGAAAAAATAATCGTGCCACGGAGGAAATTCTTAGAAAAATTGTTAAGCGTATTGTACCAAATAAACAACGTGGCTGGGGAAAAATTGAAATTGTACTGGAACTTGTATTCGGTAGAATTTAATCATACCGGAACTTGTATTTGGTGCAATTGAATCGTACCGAAAATTGTATTCAGTACATAAGATTATAACATGCAGATTGAGTTGCTCAAACAATTTTCACCGTAAAATTGCCAAACAAATCAGGAGTTCATTAATTATTTTCCCCCACTGCAACCTGGAATATGTTGTCATTTTGTGAAAAAAAAATTGGCTAAATATGAGGCAATTGTCAGAGAAATAGAATTGTTTATAAGCCACTAGATGAAAATATCCTTTGATATGTATCGAGGTTTGAAATACAATTGGCGTTAAAATCCAAATGTCATTATATCTTTCATTACTAGAAATTGATGTGCCAACCCCTACTCAAAACACTCTAGCGACAGGCCGGATTTTAACATTTAATATCGCTGCATATGACAGTTATCATTAAGTGAATGAAAGTTTTGAAGCATTTACACAGAAAAGTAATGCGGATTACTGAAAGTGATATTAATAACTACAATATTTTTTTATGAATATTTTATTAAAAGCAGTTCAATTTATTCATTATAATCGCTTAAGACATGAATTGAGCTAAACCGTAAAGGCACAAAAACGTTAAATCACATAGAATAATGCCTGCAGAAATATCACGTGTTATGTACCAATGCGTTATTTAAAATGCAGGTGTTCACAATAGATTCATTTCAATTATAAATACATCTATTGTTATTATTCAGGGACTTTGATTTAAAAATATAATTCAAATCTAATATATTTAAGCATTGAAAAAAAATAATCAAATATTACATAGCTAATTAATGACTACTGTGTCAAAATCAAAATCTATTAATTGCCGGTTTCTAAAAATTCCAGTATTATAAGTTTCTAAAAGTTCTATATTAATTATAGGTTTCTATTTATAACACATTGATGCCCACTGTCGAAGGAATGGGAAGCTGGGAATTAATGTGTTCATGTGAGAATTATAAATAAAGATGATGAAACTATAGTTTTAAGGCATGCTATATATATATATATATATATATATATATATATATATATATATATATATATATATATATATATATATATTAAAAGATATTATTAAATATCAAAATGTCTGAGAAAACATTAAACATTCACAAATTTGTTTATTATAAACAGACATTTTTAAATTAACGTATCTTTTTAACATAAAAATACAAATTGTCGGACTTTTAATATAAATGTCATTTGTTTACATTTGATACGCCATTAAATGTACAGTTCATTTGAAGTTTATATCATTTCAAGGCACGTCAGCCTAAATGTCGGTTCCGTAAAATTATAAACGAATATTCACATTGAGCCGGTAAATGTTATTTAATACTGTTTATTATAAACAGAGCATTTACTTAAATACTTGTATCTATAAAAAGAACGTTAAACATAAAAATGTCTTTAATAAATAAATTGTCGGACTTTGTCTATTTCTTAATATATGACGTCATTTGTTTACATTTGATACGCCAGAGCAGTTATGAATGTACGAGATTCATGGAAGATTGAAGTTTATAAGCAGTAAATTCAACCTTGCCAGCCGAACGATCCTTTGTGGCCGAGCGGTCAAGGCACGTCAGCATAAATGACGGTTCCGTATAGGATGCAGGTTCGAATCCTGTCTCCTGTCAAAGGACGAATATTTTCTATGAAAATTTCTCGGACATTGAGGCCGGTAAATGTTATTTAATACTGTTTATTATAAACAGAGCATTTAGTTAAATCCTTGTATCTATAAAAAGAACGTTAAACATAAAAATGTCTTTAATATATATATATATATATATGTAACTGTACTCGATATCAGAGATAGAGCCTATGTTAATATAAAATTGAACATTGAGTTCAACACTAAGCGGCAACGATGCTTTTCATGCTTAAACGCAATCATCAGACCATGTGTATTGCATATGAGGGATCGTCATCTTAAATTCTTTTAAAAGAGCTTTGTTTTGATTGATTGATATTTTTTTACATTATTTACCTTATTCGGACTATTGTCCTCATCTTTGTCGCCATATTTATTGATAAATATGGCGACAAAGATGAGGAGAATAGTCCGAATAATGTAAATAATGTACATAATACCTCATCTCAGAAATATAGACAGACTCTGATATTTTTTTCTATTCCTTATCAACCATTTGCAGGTTATTTGAAGCCAGAAATGTCTTTTTTTTAGATTGTAAGAACTTTTGGGGGCGTAGTAATGGTCTACTGATACAAGTTTTATTATTAACCCAGAGCTAGGAGGGAAGATGGGGATTCATACCTTTCCCAAAATTATCTGTGCGTAAGTGAATATAACGAACCCAAGGGGTATTAGAACTCGGCTCTCCGATTAAAAAATCCGAGCCATTATCCATTACGGCACCAGCACATGGAAGCTTACAGCAGCTAGTATTCGAAAACGGTCACCCATCGAGGTACTGACAAGGCTCGATGTTGCTTAACTTCGGTAAACGTACGGGAACCAATGTTTCAACATCATGTGGCCGTAAGACAAAGCACTTTTAAAGACACATTAAAATGAACATCCATGTTTTATTTAGCAATTTGTATCGCTATTTCATCCGTAGCGATTTATTCAAATCGGGTGGGTGTTAATTTTTATTGGCGTTCTCGGGTAGCTATTCAAAAACATATTCATTTACAGCGAAAAAAAACAATTGTAAATGGCTGAATAAGGAAGGGTAAATTTGCATGGAGGTCTGTGCTTCTCTAAAATAATAGAATAGCCGACGAAAAACTATTCATGTGTACTCGGAATAAAACAGGTGATAGAAATTATTTCTAAATTAAATGTTCCTTCCAACAAAAAGATCGAAAGAAATAATATCTTTTGAATGGGCATGTACATTATCCGTTTATGTTATATTACAATATTTTCTGCAGGTACTCAGAAAAATGATTAATACCTATCACTATCTATACAACATATATATTTGATAGTCCATTGAATGAAATATTTCTAATATAAATACAATATTTTTAGTTTTAATTTGCAGTAACAAAACATCTTATCATTGAATATCTCAACTATTAACTACAAAATAGAATAAAAATAAGATTATAGGGCAATATTTTACTGGTGACTGCTCTGAATCAAAGTAAATATAATTATAGGAAAATGTTCAACTATATTATTATAAGATTCGAACATATAATTATGGGCGAAATGCTCATTTGTCAAGTTCAATATAATCTACACAGAATAAATATATATATATATATATATATATATATATATATATATATATATATATATATATATGAGTGTGTGTGTGTGTGTGTGTCTGTGTGTGTATGTATGTATATATAGGGAAGAGGTTATAGTTGTTCCAACGAGAGAAAAGGGTATATTCTCAAAAGAATTATCGAAGGTATTGATATCATAAAAAATTTGAAATATTAGTATTAGCATTATTAGAATTTGAAATATTAGTATTAGCATTAGTATTAGCAATTGGTTTATCGGTGTGGTAATTTGAACGGAATATAGTCGTTAAGTGAGGGGAAGCTGTACATATTTAAAACAAAATCCTCTATTTATGAAGGAAGTGTGATTCATATTGGATATAGAACGTTTGTAGATATAGTGTGAGGCACTGAAATCAGCACTGCTAGATCAATTTAAGTGTGAAACTGACTGGCACGATGAAGTGTCAATTTCTATGATCAGTTTGGCTATATTTGTATATGACTTTATTTTTTGCTTTTAAGAACCATTTGTGTTTTGCCATTCCCCAATTCTTTTTATTATCCCGTGTAGGAAAATAATCGCATTACTGTTGTTTTTTCTTTCAAAGGAATTTAAGCGGAAAATAAGATAACATGAAGACGCGTAAATACGCTCTTTTTTTTTTGTTTGACGACGGCCATTTTCTGATAGTAATTTTCTGTAGAAATTTCGGCAGACACTCCCTTTAAGCCTCTACGAAATGTTAGCATATCTCATTGCAAACATTTTACTTTTAAATACTCCCATAAATGAAAATGTTTCAAGATCATTAATGTCCAATGGTATTTTAAGAACCATATTTTCGTCTATTCATTCGTCATTTTTCCCCATTTACAAAGTCAGTTATGACGTCAATCCATCTGTGAGATTGATAAAGAAACGTTCATGTAAAATGGCCGCTGTAGAGGAAATGATTATACATCAAATGCGCTTGCCCAATTGAGAAAAGTGCTAAGATGGATTTAAAGACCTAAATTGGTCAGTTGATGCCGTTTCAATCATTATTTAAGACTGTCATTTGTAAGCTGAGCAGCAATAAAATATTTTAAACTAGGATATTGTTTAAATGTCATTTGCTAATGAAAAATAGAAGCCATCGAGTAATTACGTCACAAGAGTTATACACCATCACTGGCTTCATATCAATGAACAAGGCGCCTGTTCTAAAGGTATAATTAAAATGTTAGACTGCCAGGCGAATGAATTCGATCCCTCCACAGTACTCTCACCTAATTCATGACCGTCTGCCTGTTTAATACACGATAGACAACACACACTCCCTCGGATACTACTAGATAATTCTACCCCACCCTAATCTTCTCTCTCTTTCCCCAAATTAATCCATTTCACCTAAAGCAAGGCAATAAAAGCACTAAGACCGAAAGAGTTACTGAATATGGAAGAATTAGAAAAGAGAAATATTGCTAAGGGGCAAGAACAAAAGAAGAGTAATCAGGAAGTTATTAGATTGCGATTGACATTGCGTCAAATTTTTTAAGTTAGCTGGAAATCATGAAGCCGCAAGGTAGATCAACAAGCGAGAAGTGTGAGAAAAGAAACTGTTAGCATAGAACTCATGACTAAATATAATCATTTCTGCTGTAAATTGATGAAACATCATCGACAGTTTAGTACTGCGCTTAAAAGTTTAAAAATTCTAATTACCATAGCAAAAATTTCATCGGAATGATTAACATAAAAGAATTTATAGAAAAGGCACAGGGAGGCAACTTTACAGCGGTGGGAAAGTGACTGATGCCGAAACGTCAGATCAGGACCAATAATATTGCAGATTCTTTTTTTGAGATCTTTTTTCAAGGATCTCTCTCTCTCTCTCTATTTGATAAGAATGACAGAAGCAGTTCAAAATTTCGTTCATGAATACCATAACCTTTCAACTTGTCAAGAAAATCAATATACCAAACCTGTCAACTGCCTTCGAGATAACCAAAGCAACAGCCTGATCTCCACGATTCTCATCTAAAGCTTGATAATCTCTTTCAGTCATAATCATTAGTCCATCAGCAGTTGGACAAGAGAAGCCACAGCCATATTAACCAATTCATAGTTAATCAGAGCCTCTAGTACATTACCAAAAAGAGGTAGAAGACTAAAAGGCCGATAGTTTTTTTAAGAATACCATCAACTCCACCTGCTTTATGAGGATCCAGTTTATAAATGATAGCAGGAAGCATGGATGGAGTTATATGCATAGCACTGAATAGAAACTCAGTTCTAAATGGAAAGTCAGGCAAAGATGTACCAGATGAGTCGAGAGTAGAATTTGAAGAGAATTTACAAGCAAAACATTCTGCTTTATCAGCAGAAGATGTTAACACCTCAGAATCATTGAGAAGTGAAAGGATATAGAATTACAATATTACCGAGCCACAAAAAGTAAGGTGAAATATTTCTGAAAGATATTGCTTTAAAACGTAGTAGTCTTTGCTGTTACATTGCTCTATTCAATGTTATAATGATAGTTTTCTAATTTCATTTAATTTTATCATCATGCACAAACACATTTCTCTTTCTCTCTCTCTCTCTCTCTCTCTCTCTCACTATATATATATATATATATATATATATATATATATATATATATATATATAATATATAAATAAAGACAAAAGTCTTATCTTAGACGACGAGTTTCGTTTTCTGAAATGCAAGGATTTTATATTGTAAAAAGTACTTATAATGAAGAGCGAAAAAAATTTAAGAACGTTTATAAATATTCAGTAGGTTAGTCGAAAAGTCAGGCAGGCTATAGTGGACACCACGTGACACAATTCAATGTCAACTAAATGAAAGTCAGTAAGTAATATTTTTTTCTCGGCGAAGATAAATTTTCCTTTGGTTTTTATTCATATTATCGTTTTGCAGATATACTCTATCTGAAATGTTCACACACACACACACACACACACATATATATATATATATAAATATATATATATGAATTGGGATCAAATATAATTCAAATATGGACCGAAGTCTAACAGAATGAAAAGCTAAAGAACAACTAGGAAAAGTTTATCAATTTATTGATAAACGTTTCCTATTTGTTCAGAGGGAGAGAGAGACAGAGACAGAGAGAAAGAAAGAGAGGTAGAGTTGTGGATAACACTTTCGTTCATCAGATTTTTTTTAATCGATTTTTCTTATTTAGATGGATTAATTTCAGTAACTTGGACATGACGGAACCGTCCACATTTTATCTCATTTCTTCATTTGGTTCCTAGCCTTCGCCTGACTACAGTCATTACCAAGAATGTAATGCAATTAAAACAAAGCAAAAGTCTCGTGATTGTTCGCCTTGGAATTTTTACTTTTTTGAAGGCTTGTGAAGTCACGTAAACGTGATGTCGTTTTTGGAGATTTAAACATTGTGGAGTCGCATGAACGTGACGTTGTGTGGATTCTGAGAATTTGAATACATTTTCGAATGCCTATTTCAAAATCAAAATCGTTTTTTATTAATGTTTGTTTTGACTAAACATGGAGAGCTTGTAAAATTTCTAATATGTTTGTTTTGTTGAAACTGTTTGTATATTATTAACAAAAGTCTGCCTCATATAATTGTTCTTTTTTGTGTAGCTGTATTCTGAACCTTCGTTATGTATAGGTTGTACACATGATGAATTCCATCCTGCGTTACATTATTCTACACTTGTCATTCCTGTTGACACAATGTAGCAAGAATAATATGTAGACTGACGGTACAAGTCAGACATCTTTCCATTATATTCATTGAGGGATCAAGCGACTTTGATGACCAGAGAAGTTACCAAATACATTGCTGGGCACATTGAGTAATATGGGCGTCATGTGGTAGGCATTATTCTGCTAGAACAGCGCTTCACCATCCTGCTGCAGTAATATCAACATAAAAGTCTAAAGATGGTCTAAACTGATATGATGTTCTTAAAATTTCCATCTACAAGCACAAAAACGGAATCAGCGTTTTAACTTATATAATAACTGTCAGCAAGTCATACTAATAAGGGAATTTGATTCAGTCAGTATCAAGATGGAATTAAAAATATTAAAAAAAATCATATCTGTTTAGTAATTGTTTTCATGTTGCCCGAGGTTGCGTCAATGTGTCTGTTTCATGTTTGAACGCAATCTTCATGTCTTTAAACATTAAACAGACTGTCGTCACTCGATGTTGCGACAGTGTCCACGCTCATATTTGCCTAGGATTGAGTATATTGATCACTTTTACCCATAAATTTAATAATCACTAAAACTAT